GGCGAACTCCTGTTCAAAGTAATTAGCCGCATCTCAAACAGGAGAAAGGATAAAATTACATCTAATTCTCTTGAAACCACTTTTTAAAACATAATCAAGCATTATGAGCTTGAATTAGTACCACGCCATATTATACATATATGCTGGGAATATATTTAGGCAAATCCTGCATTTACTAACGCTGTTGTGTCTCGGCTGGTCCCATTACTCTGCTATTAGCACATATACAGTTTAAGCCAAAACTCTTCTCGCCACACGCTTTAGATTTAACAATACAGTTTTCTATGTGCACGTGCACGATAAAATGTAGGTATATTTGTTTACGGCCATGAATCTGTGATGTTTTAAAACGGCATAAGCTCAAAACGTTTTTACTGCGTTTTTTGACACAAAAATTCAAACACTAGCAAAAAATCGTTTTTAAAACTGAAATCGTTCCTTGTTTCTGAAAAGCAGTGCTATTCCTTAGGCTCGGGTTCATCTCATTTCCATAAAATAAAGACCAGACTTTTCGGTCCTCGAAAGGATATACCTTGAACGTTTTGTGCTTATATTTTGTCTTTCTATAGCACAAGTCACGAAATAAAAGGTGTGTTCTTGTCTTACTAAATAACATACAAATTTTTTTCGCTATCAAGCAATCTCGGATTCTATCGTTTCCCTTAAATAAACTAATTGAAGCATGCAAGCTGTCAGTATAGCTGCCGAAGGTGACCCAGCCCCGTGGAGCCTACGTCTTGGTTACTTTTGACGGAGTTCAAACATTGGGATACTAAATGACCTGTTTCATAATATCAATCATTATCGCTGCCCTAAAATTAAGGATCAAGATTAGCAGCCCCTGGAAAATGAGGTCAGTTGTAGTACAGTACATGGATCTTCTCCCATGAAAAGACCGTCTGCCTAAATAATTCCCCCCCCCTTGTGGTGTTGCAACTAAGGGGCTCTTAATTAATCGAATGTGCCGAAATTTGTCACGTGCCTTTTGCGGTGATTGACTTGCGGTCGCCGTCTATAAGGACTGACAAGATAATCACGAATTTATGATGCCAGCAATAGGCCTAACAATGAACCATGTATGCGATTCTTTATTCCCGTCACGTATCACTGAGGCACAACCATCCCTGAAGGCAACCTCTGTTGCTATATTTAACAGGCAAATAGTAGTTGAAATTGCGAAATTAATCTTAAATTTTGGGAAGTGCAAAAACAGATTGACGCATTCAGGGCCATTCAAAGCTACCAAACGACTAGCTGTGCGCAGAATCCTGCAGATATTTTGCCATGCACTTTAAAAAATACCTCAAAAATATTCATTTAAAATATTTGTTTCTTCAAGGGTGACCACTTTTTCCCTTGATTTCCGATGTTTTCGTTAAGCTTATCGCATTTTGCAAAGATCCCAACCCTTAGAGCCATTTTATAATAAATTCGGTTATTTAAATTTTAATCATGAGGAAGAGGAGATGAGCTTTGGCGCCTACGTATGCGGAAGCGAAACTGTGCACGTCCGAGTAGGGAAACTTCTTAAAGCCCTGTGAATCACAGCGGTCTGGATTTCGTGAGCGCTAATCACGCAGGCGGATCAGTCCGTTTTCTCCGAATACGCCGAAAACTTTTTTGGCTGCGAAAAAATAATTACAGAAGGCGCCTTCGGATGTGCGGCGAGCACTGACACGAGAGCCCTGCGTCGTCTTCGACGTCGTCTTTAGCTCAGAAATAGTTAGGAATAAACCAGATGATTAGACGGAATGTAGGCTTCGTTGCCATGTTTCCGTTGAGTGCGTTAGTAATACACTGACAGGAGTGCATTGTGGAAAACATAGAATGAGGCCAAAGACGGAAGCACCGCAAAGTACTGTTCACGGCCACAACAGGTCGGACTGATCCTCAAAGCATGATCATCCCGATCTAACCGTTTGTCCACTTGCCTTTCTTACACAGATTACAATCATCCTAAAAGCGCAAAATAGTCAGAGCACTTGTTGTTGCTAGACCCTTCCACTTCCCTAAGAGATCGCATCCTCGGAATCCGTTTCTGCCCCTTTATTTGTGGCTTTAAAGCAGACCCGAACAACCTCCTGTTAAAATACTCCGAGTTGTTATATTACAGCGCTCCATGCGCAACTACTTGCTACTGAAATGCGGTCTCTCTGAAAAAAAAACATTTCCGGCGAATGCTGACTGCCAGCCGAACTCTAGAAAAACTACCCCAGTGTATTGGCTGAGGTTACGGAGCATATTTGGGCGAAGTCTTGTATACGGCATTCGTACTACTGGACTAGTCCAATACTGTTTGAATTACTAGCCTTAAAATTTTGCATGTGCGACCAGCTTGAGTTCTTTATGTGTTTCCCCAGATATACATGGAAAGAACACTCACAGTTATGGCAGAAACTGCGTCGCCCTTATACTAGTGTTGACTTCACGTCAACATAATTTTTGAATTTAATTTTTTTTATCCGCTGTTTAAATAACGCAGCAAAAATTGGCTTTGGAAATGTCTGGACATCAGCGTTATGTGCCTGAATTAGCTGAAATGCAATATTTCAGGTTGTCAAATAACGAGAAGAAAAGATCCGAAATACGGCATATGTCCAGCAGCCGTATTTTCGCGGAGTCTTCTAGTTAGTTATCGTCCGTGGGAACTACAGGGCATTTTTTTGTGACAACGCTTGACAAATGTCAGTGCACCCAAGTTGCAGAGAACGTCCGCGTTTTGGGGGCAGGACGAACGTCGCAGTGAACTTTCTCCTAGCCTGTCAATTCGCAGCCTGAAGTGCTATTTATACAGATTCAGAAGACTAAAGAAGATATCGGGCCAAGTATGCTATGTTATAGTCAAAGCCACTCTGCCCGGCTTCAGCGGGAGGAGGCAGTCCCTCAGTAGGGCTAACCCACAAAAAGTAGAAATGCTTGATAATTTGTTCCACGCAAATATTCCTATATCTGCGGCTTCATTGGCTTGCCCTTAACTGGAAAACCACCGCTGAAATTGATGATCTAATCTTCAACTTCCCCAAATTTACTGTATCTTTAACAGCCTCTCCTTTCAAGACATCACGGTCAATGTAGAAGCCGATAAATAAAACGATCTTGCTTACTAGAGCCAAACTGGGAATGCCAATTTAGCAGGCTGCATAAAAACTTCCATTGCTCGCAGTTCCGCGTACAGAGCATGAGATTTGACATCGATTCCGACCAGGTCCACCATAGGTGGGCGCAGAGTCAGTGGTTTGGCCATGAATTAGATTATATTAGTAGCAGACATGCACTACGTCTACCACGGCCTTTTCTTCTCGCCCGCTTGGGTCCGGTGTCCAGACCAAATTAAGAATACGAAAGAAGGGGAAAAGTGCGGTTGGCTGGGCTGGAAATGTTTGCAATTTGAGCAGGACTGTCTTTAGAGGTCCTTTTTGCATTTGACTTCTAACAATAACCTACCTTCATATTCTCCGTAACCCGACCTTCCTTTTTTCGTTTAACTCCACCAATAAATGATGGAATTTCCATTTTTCGTTAAATTTCGCCAATATAAGGTTGAATTTCCCCCATCAGTATCCTTAGCAACAGGAGTTAATGTCACTGGATTTTATTATATCTAGTACATTAAACCGAACATGAGTTTCTTTAATTTAATATTTTTGAGGACTTTCACCATGATTGAATACTTATTGACACTCCCTAGTCAAGAAATAGATGTTTAACCACAAAATACGTTAGACATTTGTGCGGGGGGATTGATAGTTAGGGGGCCCTACAAGACAATTTTGCCGTAATTCGGTTGACACGCTGCTATAAAAGTCAGGTAGACTAACAGCCGAAAAGGGTTAAGTTATTCAACCAACAATGATCTAATGATCAAAATGACAATTAAGGAATTTAGGCAGTTTTTATGAACGAAGAGGTTGGTTGCAAACACCAGTCCTATATTTATGTATGGATTTCCGAATTGACACGATATCTACGAAAACAGTGTGGAATGCATTTGGAGCCCTAAAATATCTTCTCGGCTCGATCCGTGTTCTATATGCGAAGTGGATTATGAATCCGTATAGGAATCGCGTATAAACTCCCGCCTCCTAACAGAACAGGGAAATTAGGATGCTGTGTACTGCTGATAGATTTGCACTAAAATTGTGGTGAATTAGGGTTTTGTTGGGCTTAAGACTAAGACTGCCGATAAGCTTGAGGTAAACATAGGATAAAGGGTGCGTATTGATTAAGATTGTGGGTAAGGTTAAGGCCTACAACACGGGACTACGTATCCATCTTGAAATGTAGTTCATGGTCACATGTACTTCGGGGAAAGGCATTACGATTCCCGTATCCTGCCGAAGAAGAGAAGAGGGGCATACAAACGATTGCTTTCGGAATTCATTTCTGACGGGAGAAATGCGATCGTGCCTGAATTGCAAAAAGTTCATCAGCTTGGTATTTTTATAAGCTGCATTGCGCAACTAGAATAGGCTTACTACTAATTACACGACAGAAACGCATTCAGCCGGATTCCAGTTCCTCAGTAAGGCAGATGATCACCAACAGTAAACTAGCAAGCTGTTTTTGAAAACACATATAAAAAGGGCCTGCACTCAATTTTTTCCTAGTCATAAACTGGGACATATGTAAATTTATTTAACACTTGACAACCTGCACTGATTTTACAACAAACTAACCGTTGTTAGAATATTTTTCGAATATTTTCGACATGCTTCAATATGTTTAAATACTAGATGACACAATAATTGCACTTAAAAAGTAAATACAATGACGCTAAGCTCAGTAGAGATTTAAGAGTGTATGCGGCAAAGTACAAACACCCAGGGGTTCATATCTTCAACTGAGTGAAGTGAACTTCCAGATTATTGCTGCAGTCATACATACTTCAATGAAACCGGAAGATGGTGAACTAGCCGTGTACTTAGCAAACTTAGTAAACGAGCATTTCATGTATGGGACAGCTGTCGTGAACTAGTCTCTCTCTCTCTCTCTCTCTCGTATTAGGCTTGTTCAGGAGTTTTTACAAGACAGAACAAGTCAACACGCGGTGAACTCGGAGCTGGAGAGACTGGCAATGTTGCAACGCAGAGGGAAAAAAAGTCGACTTTTGGCTTACTTCGTAGAGAATCGCGCGCACGGATTCCTGAGAGACCGGGAGCACGGTAGCCGGCAGATCGCATCAGCCTGTCTGCATGTGCAGCCTCGGCCAGCGCCGAGTTGGCCTCCGAGGCCAGCTTGTTAGACAACTTTTTCGCTGTCGCGTCCTCACCCCGTGTCTTCGTCGGCCGCGAATGAACGTTTACAAACAGAAATCGGGCGCCATAGACGATGATTATCTGCTCGCGCGACAGAAGAAGGAGATGGGTCGAGGGAGGTAGGGGCAGGGGAAGGCAAAAAGGCATGGGTGAGGAAAAGGTAGAGAAGCTGCACCAGATCAAAATTATTTTTTTCAACTTTCAGAAATTAACGAGACTTTGCGTCGTTTTTTCATCCACTGAAAGCATTTAAAACTGCGACTGAACACTCTTGGTTCATCGGGGTACCTCCGCCTATAAGCTGCCACTAAAATCAAATTTAGGTGGGGAGAGGTTAAATTATAAAATAAAGTGTATACGAAAAATTCATAATCAAATATTTTTAACCGAGGTCAGTCGGGATCATCTTAAGAAAGGAATGCACAATAATTCCTTCATTATGCGCGCTAGGGAAAAAAGACACTTGGGCTCGAAGTAATCGATAGTAAGTAGGACTTTCAATGAGCCCGCCTCACCGGGTTAGCTACCAGTGTTACGCGCGACCAGAATCCCAAATTAGCGTGTATCAGCTTCCCACTCAAGAAGTCTCTAATCGCATAGATTGTCGCTATTGCAGCCTCACTCTAAGCCTTGAGAAAAATGTGAGGCACTACTGGCCATAATTTAAGACCCATGCAATTTAATCGCTGCCCCGCTAGCGCCTTGCAAATGCCTCGTTTGACACAGGTGCATCCCTAGCCATTTGTTCTGAGTACCCAGAGAAGGTATTGTAATCCGGAAACCTCGTCTGCCGGCTCAATGAAGTACGCATCAAAACGTTGACATGGTGAATAGCTTTGGGCAATATTTGAAGAATGTTCACCGACTGATAACGGAACTCATTCGCCAGGATGTTTCATAATTCAGACTGCCATCACCGGGATCAGAGTTGCGCTTCTGATAATGGTTAGGGTACAAGTTAAGTTTCGAGATAAGGCTATAATTATAATTACAGTAAGGGATTCATTAGGAGGGTTGGTGTGAATAATTGGTATGCCCCTTCATCTTGGCAGCTGGTATTGCGCTCAAATGTTGAATGGGTACTAAGTAATGAATCCCGAATGAAAGCAAAGGTTTGCGTTCCAGGTATGGATAAGGAAGAAGACTTGTCGAGCACCGGA